ATCTGCTGCCTTCGTTGGAACATTAACAGGAAGCTGGATCATAAGTTGCTTAGCTGAAATTCAAACCTGGCAAATCTGGAAGCAGATACAAGCACAAAAACTGACTGCTTCACCTACTGTGCCACAGTGCCTGCCCTTAGATGTTTCTATTTGTAGTAATGCCCTTCTCTAGACCTTTGATCTTTCTCTATTTCTCTTTGGAATGCCTTTCTGGAAACAATTTCCCTTAAGCCATGAATTCTTCTAGCTAGTATTTGTTGTTTTTATAATCTGCCTCTAACACAAATAAGTGAATACCACCTTGAATTTCTGCAGGCAAATTAGTTTGGAAATTAGTGGGTTATATCACTTTCAAGTATATATAGTGCTGTTTTTGAATATAAGCTTCCTATTTCAAGATTTTGTGTGTTTATGTGAGTGTTCAGTACTAATCTACATGCCTCTTGAGTTTGGCTTAGCTTAGGAATATGGACTGTAAAAGTGGATACAAAGGGGCCAACACCATGATAAAGCCGACTAAACCTCTTGCAGTGACAACATCTCATATGGGCACCAGTTCTACTGGCTGGTCCACTTCCAATCTAGCTCCCTGCTTTTGGCTGAGAGGGCAGAATGGATGGCCCAGGTCCTTGGGCTCCTGAACCCATGTGAAAGACCTGGAAGAAGCTCCTGAATCTTGACCAGCCTGATTCTGGCTGTTGCAGCCATTTGGGGAGTGAACCAGTGGATGGAAGATGCTTGCTCTCTGTAACCCTGGCTTCCAAATAAATAAATAAATCCTTAAAAAAAGGGGGCCCAGTGCAATGACTCAGTTGGCTAATCATCCAAATCTGAGCACCATGATCCCATATGGATACTGCTTCTTGTCCCAGCTGCTCCACTTCCCATCTAGCTCCCTGGTTGTGGCCTGGGAAAGCAGTAGATGATGGTCCGACTCTGGCATCTTGCGTACTCCTGTTGGGGACCTGGAGGAGGCTGCTGGCTTTGGATCAGCTCAGCTCCAGCCAGTACATCCATTTGTGAGCTAGTGGATGGGAGATCTTTCTCTGTCTTTCGTTCTCACAGTAAATCTGCCTTCCAAATAAAAATAAATCTTTAAAAAAGAAAGAACTGGGTAAGGTGTAGCTCTTTAGTTGTTAAATCTTTTGTTCAACACAGGTATCTGAGTAGGGATAGCAGCAGAAGTAGCCTATCAACCGGGGCAAGGCCTCTGTCAAGAAGAAATGCATTTGAAGAACTTAAAACCGAAAAGGATCATTGCTGTCACAGAAGGTGTGGTAGACTGGCTAGAGGAGAGTTTCTCAGCAAGATTTCATTGCTGACCTTTTGCTGAGCGCTTTTCCCCTTTACCTGCAAAATGAGGAGATTGGACTCGGGTATTTACTAGTTAATTCTGATAATAGACAGATATTGCTATATTGATGTAATCTTACCAAATATATTAAGTAATAAAGCAACATTGTACCCTCCTGTAGCTATAACAAAGATACAGCATGTAGCTTATAAACCAGGATGTTGACCATTTCACGGCATTCAATTGAATAAAAGGAGAAAACTGTGTACGGTTTTGTCTGTATTGAAGACCAGTTCTCTCAGTAAAATCCACTACCAGTAACCTAGGCAGTACTCTAAGGGGGAGGGGGAGATTTTTCTTTTGGTCAGAACAGCTGCACTTTGGTCTTTATTACCCTTTGGGGTTCCATGCTAAGATTTTGTTTAGTTTAAGAAAAGTACAAGTTTATAAAGATTTGACATCAACTGATAGTAAATGATATTTGAAAGAAATTTTTTATTACCGATTTCAGCATTCTATGATGCATCCAGCTTTCCCTTATCTGTGTATGCAGAAATTTCCTCTTTTAATGGAATGTAGATGTGATTATAGTTAAAACTGTAACATGGGGTGGGTATTGTGGCACAATGAAACCCCTGCTTGTGACACTAGTATGTGTACTGAAGTGCCAGTCCTGGCTCCTTGTACTTCCAGTTCAGCTTCCTGCTAACATGCCTGGGAAGACATCACAAGATAGCCCAACTATTAAGTTCCCTTCTACCCTTGTGGTTGACTGGATGGAGCTCCTGGATCCTGCTTTGGCCTGCCCCAGCCCTAATTGTTGCTGGCATCTGGAGAGTGTACCATGGATGGGAGATAAGACTTAATCCCTCCCACTTCCAACCACTCTGCCTTTCAAGCCCAAACAAATCTTTTTTTGTTTTGTTTTATTTTGTTTTTACTGTAGCATGTAACTCACTTGGATAGATACTGTGTAAGTCCCAAGAACTAAATAACAATGGTTTTATAAGTTTTTATCAGGATGGAGTTTTGATGACAAAGAGATAGAATGAAATCTGAAAGACAGTTTTGGAAATGGCTTCGCTGTCATCATTGGGGGGATCCTTTTCCAGAAAGACACCCCATGCTCAGTGTTGCATGGAGTTAGTCTGGGTCTGAATGGATGCCACTGCATAGAGCTTTGTTCTTACTGCTTTAGACTGGAGCAAGGCATACTCCTGTGTTAGTAAAGAGTGGGAATGACAAGAAGCATGATTATTCTGCTTCCAGTTCTTGTTTGTGGCATGGTCTTGTTGGAAACCTGTGTAAAGCAATAGGAAATAGAGAACTCAGGTTGTTTTTTTCAAAATTAATTTTTTATTTGAAAGACACATTTTAGAGAGAGAGAGTTTTTCTGTCCTCTATTTCACTCCCCAGATTATTGGTTTTCACTATGGTTACCATTTTTAGTAGCTTTAAACCATTGGGAAAGTTTTTCAGATATACAGAAAATTTCTTAGTGAAAGTTTTCCAGATTTAGCATTCGAGATAGAGTACTAAGTCATTTAAAACCTCATTTATTTCAAGAGTAGAGATCTATCAATAAATGGTCACCATAGAGTATATCAACCCTTATGTGTACATATGAAAATAATAAGAAATTAAAATAGTACCCTGTTGTCAGAATTTGCAGGGTTACTAATAACATTTAACATCCCCTTCCCCTCCCTGTTTTCCAGCATCAGTGGGGCATCTGGGGAGAGTATATGAATTCCGGGGTTTATGACACTCAGACATTTAATATATGAACAGATCTGTATCATATGGGCCTTTTGCATTGACCTCCCTATGGTAGTACTTTAGATGCTGCTTAAGATTCAAGCTATTTGCAGACTTTAAGAGGCTTTAATTAAAAGTGGTCTCCTCTGGGCATATTGCAATAGACTAGTGGCTAAATGCAACTGCTGGGATCTCATATGGGCGCTGGTTCGTGTCCTGGCTACTCCACTTCCCATCCAGCTCCCTGCTTTTGGCCTGAGAAAGCAGTAGAGGAAGTTCCAAAGCCTTGAGACCCTGCACATGCATAGGAGACCTGGACTAAGAAGCTCCTGGCTACTGCTTTTGGGTCAGCTCAGCCCCAGTTGTTGCGGCCACTTGGGGAGTGAACCAGTGGACCAAAAATCTCTCTGTCTCTCTCTCTAAATCTGCCTTTCCAATAAATAAAATGAAATAAATCTTTTTTTTAAACGGCTTCCTCTGTTTTAGTATTTCCCTTTATCATTCTCTTCATAGGTTTATACAATTTGGTTTTCTTTCTGATAAATTGTTACAGTGAATAGAGTCTAAGACTAAGAACCAGTTAACTTAGATTAAAACTACATTTTCTACCAGATCTAAAATCTTCTGTAGCCTTCCCTTTTTACTTACTTACTTACTTACCTCTTCTTCACTCCTTATCTCAACTACTCATAACTATTTTCAAATGCTTATAGAATAAATATGATTGTGAAGAAGCATCAATAAATGCATTTTCTGGCAAGATTGGCAATTTAGAAGTTCTTTTGTAGTTTTCTTACTGTATTTTGGTCTTTCTTATGTCCTAGCCAGATACAGTCTACAGTTGTAATCTCTTTTATTTCCAATTGTTAATGTAAAACAAAACAATAACATAGCTTCATTTGTCATGTAGTAAAATTCTACAAATCTGTTATTAGTGAAGGTGTAAGGAAATGTTTATTTTATACATTGTAGGAATATAATTGGTATATCTGTGTTAGAAGGCAATTTGACTGTATCTGTCTATATTTTTATAGTATGTATGTTATCAGACTGCAGGGGTCTCCGAAAAAATTCCTGTGCAGTTACTAAGAAGGATACCCAAGGATACTCATTGCAGTTTTCTTTGTGTTAGCAAATTTTGACATCCTATATTTCCATTAAAAGGGTAACAGTTAAACAGGAGATAGAGGCATTTCAACACTTTTTTGCGCCAAAATAAAGTTTTAATCTCATTTTTAACAATGCTTTAAAGTTCTTTCTAGTATCCTTATATATATCCATGTCATGCAAATAGCAGGCATAATACAAAGTTTGAGGTAGGTCTATGTTTACTGATTATTTTAAATTGAAAAGCAAGACAAGCCAGTTTTTCACTGTGATGTATTTGCATAAAAACTGTATAATTGCCTGTATACATACACTTCTATATTATATTCAGAAAATAAAGAATATATGCCAAACCGTTAATAATAGTTGGGCAATGAAAAGAAATTTCATTTTTTAGATAAATATATGAAGATACATTATCAGGCTTATGAAAAATGAAACTTTATGTTTATTAAATTGCAAGAAACTTCAAAATTTTTTGTACCAAAACGAGCTTTTAATTCTATTTTCCATGTGGTTTTCAAAGTGTCTTTATGCATTTATCTTAAAAAGGAGCACAAACACATAAATGTACAGAAACTAGTATAATCCTAAGTGAAAGACGAAAATAAAGGAGAAAGAATTACTTTTTGAACAAAAGCAAAAAATCAGTAGGAAGTTTATCAAAAATATTGGGGAACTGTTGTTAGAAGATAGTCCCACAACTCTAGAATCAGATAGGAACCATGATTTGTATCTCGTAAGGACTGCCTAATGATTTATAGTGAGAATTTCACCTTTTCATTTCTTTGTATGTTTAAGTTAACTCTTTTTTTTTTTTTTTCTTGTGTGTGCTCTTCAGGTAACTCGGGACCAGATGAAGGTGTTTATACAGCAGGAATTTAAGAAGGTTCAGAAGGTTATAGCTGATGAGGAGCAGAAAGCCCTTCATCTGGTGGACATCCAAGAAGCAATGGCCACAGCTCATGTGACTGAGATACTGGCAGACATCCAGTCCCACATGGATAGATTAATGACTCAGATGGCCCAAGCCAAGGAGCAACTCAATACCTCTAATGAATCAGCCGAGCCAAAGGCAGAGGTAAATGAAGATGCCCACTATTATTATGAGCAAGAGACAGACGTGACTGTCACACTTGTTAGTTTTGGAGATGTCCCCTTATCATCTTGAACATGAACGCATCGAAAGCTCAGACTAAGTGTTTGGACAAGTGTGTAAACTAGTGTGGAAATATTGGCCACTAGGGCCTGCATGTGGGAGATTGGTCTATCAAAGGTATTTATCAACTATCACTTAAAGGAGTAGAGTCAGTGGAGAAAGTACTAATCCCAGTTAAGGAGAGGGAAATCAGAGATCAGAGCTGGAGAAGAGGCTAACTGACAGAGCCTAAGCTGTGACATGAGCCTATAAATAAAGTTATCACAGAGATGAGAACAGGGCTAAATTAGAACAAGCCAGGAAATAGAGCATAAAGTGTGCCAGAATGAAAGATCTTTTACTTATTCTGTGAAATAGTGATAGGGTGCCTCAGACTGGTTTATATATGGAGCCAACTGTATAAATTGGGGACAAAACTACTGGATTAACAGTGGCATGTGAGCTAGGGCCTTGTGAGAATTCTCTCCCCTCCTCCTTTCCCCCAAAAAAGTATGAAGAGGAAGAATACAGAAGAATAATTATAATATGTTAGTTCCTATATCATTGTCATTTTGTAACAGAAATGAAAAGGTTTTACACTTACAGGGATATTCACGAACAGCATATTCAGGCATTTAGAATCTGTGACAGAGGGAGGAAGTAGTACCCTTCTGCACTGGAGACCATACGCAGAGCTCTAGCTGCTTCCTCTTAACACTCGTATTAACTAGACCATGTCTCTTCCCTTGGAAGTCAATGTATAGAGCTTTAATTCACTCCTGCGCTGGATTTATGAGTTGGTGCCCCTCATCTACTCTAGATAGATTTGTGGAGACCGAGTATAGTCCTGTCCTGTGATTGGTACAGACCAGAATAGCATGGCAGACACTTTATAAAGTTGACATTTGGCTATAGACCATAAAACTGATCCAAGACCTGCATTCTGAATCTAAACAGACTGACTGCATAATTACGTAGTATATTTAAATAGGAATCAGATTCTTGTGATTCAGGACACAGTCCCAAATTACTCATAACAAGAATGTAGAAAATCCCAACTGTAATAAGAGAAGAACTTTAACGTAAGCTCACTCCAAGGTAACACAGTTACTGGAATTGTCAGGTGAGCATTGAAAACTCACTTTCACAAATATGTCTCATTGGACAATTGTGGGTATTCTGTAAACAAATGAAAAATATAAAATCTAAGCAAGGAAATAGAAATTATAAGAAGGTACAAATAGGGCCTAGCGTGGTGGCCTAGCAGCTAAAGTCCTCACCTTAAACGCGCCAGGATCCCACATGGGCACAGGTTCTAATCCCGGCAGCTCCACTTCCATCCAGCTCCCTGCTTGTGGTCTGGGAAAGCAGCCAAGACGGCCCAATGCTTTGGGACCCTGCACCTGTGTGGGATACCTGGAGGAGGTTCCTGGCTTTTGGCTTTGGATCAGTGTAGCACTGGCTGTTATGGTCACTTGGGGAGTGAATCATTGGACGGAAGATCTTAATCTCTGTCTCTCCACCCCTCTGTATATCTGCCTGTCCAATAAAAATAAATAAATCTTTTTAAAAAATAAGGTACAAATAAAAATTTTAGAACTGGAAAATATATACCAAAACAATAAATTTACTGGTGGAGTTCATTGGGCCTTTGGGGATGAAGGAAAAGATTGGAGAATTGAAAAATAGATTTGATCCAATCTAAGAATTAGGAAAAAATTTGTAAGTAATTTAGCTGATTAAAGTGATAAAGAGAAATGACACGATAACTATGACAATAATTTGAGTGAAACATTATGTCTCCATTTATGTCTGATTTTACATTCTCAGAAATTTTAGATTTAGTTTAAAAAGTCTTTACTGGATTTTGTTATCCCTTGGTGTTTAATCTTTCTGTTGCCATTGAAGCTTTATAAATACAGTTTTTCAGATTTTTTCTGTTAGTATATAAAATACAATTGGATTGTATTTATCCATTTTGTATTTTTTAGTTTTGTCAAGTTTACCTATTGGGTACGATAGGTGTTTAAAAATTCTTTATAACAGTGACTTTTAGGATTTTCTACATTAATAATCATTTTGTCTATAAATAGAGACAGTTTTGCTTTTTTTTTTTTTTTTGTAGCCTGGATGCCTTGTTGCCTAAGGGCAGTGGCTACGATTTCCATTGCAGTGCCAACAGAAATGATAAAAACGGGCGTGCTTGTCTTGTTCACAATCTTAGAGGGAAAGCATTCGGTATATTACTATTAAGCCAGTGCATTTTGTAGATACACCTTATCAGATTGAGGAAACTTTGGTTCATAACATGCTGAGGATTTTTTTTTATCACTTGTGTTGAATATTTTGTTTGTTCTGCATATTTTGAAATCATGTGTTTTTAAAATTATTTTGTTATAACAGTCTGTTGATTAATTTTACACTTTTTTTAAAAAGAGATTTTATTTATTTTTATTCCATCTGCTGATTCACTTCCCAAGTATCCACAAAGGCCGGAGCTGCACCAATCCAAAGCCAAAAGTCCAGATCCTCTTCTGGCTCTTCTGCTCAGATGCAGGCTCCCAAGGCTTTGGGCTGTCCACGACTACTCTCCCAGGCCACAAGCAGGGAGCTGGATGGGAAGCAGAGCCACTGGGACTAGAACCAGTGCCCATGTGGGATTCTGGTGCATGCAAGGCTAGGACTTTAGCCTCTAGGCTACCAACATGCAGAGCCCTAATTTTACACTTTTGAGCTAACTTTGTGTTCATGAAACAAACTCCTGCTTGATCAGTTAGTAATTTGTTAAGAGTTTTTGTGTCGTTTCATGAGCAACACTGGTCTGCAATTTATATTTTTGTGGTGTTAATGTGAGGGTTATTTTTGATTCAGAAACAAATATTTCCTTTTCCCGTGTTCACAAAATCAAGTATTAAAAAGTAGTATATCTTTGTATCATGAACATTTTCATTTTTGTTCAGTTTTGCAAATACTGAGTAGGAATGAGATACTTTTAGAAAAGGTTCAGTCTTGAAATGTGTCTGTATATTTTTTGTCATTCTCATTTTTAGAAAATATGAATTTGCTCTTTGAAGTTGAATGTCACGTTTCTAGCATAAGCCGTATCCATAGTGCACCATTGATTAAGTCCACTTACTTTCTGTCTTTTCATAGTGAAAGGGATGCCATTCACACTAAGCTGAATGCAGGTGCTTAGATTTTTGTAATTTATTTTTAGTACTTTGCATGTTCGATTTTCATCAACATTATTGAATGTGGAAGCATTCAGATTCATTCTCATAAAGGCAATAACTCATGGAAAGCAACTGTTGATCCTCTTGCACTTGTGTTTTGTTAACTGTGTTATTATAATTAAATGTGTGATGGATATAAAGTGGTTTGGTTGTTAGGGAGTAACATTTCCAGTGGTGGAGGCAGAAATGGGAGTTTGCAATGCAGTGACGTCTACCAAGCAGACATATTCAGGATTGCTTGCAAGGAGGGATTTGGGGACATTGCTTAATCTAGTATTTATATAATGAAAGTTGTTGAACAGACATCTGCTTTTAGTAGTCTTCAAATGAGAGTTCACTCATAATGGGAGTAAAAATTAGTCTTTTATCCATGTAGCTATGGAGGACAGGGGAGGATTACCCCAGTCAGACCGTCAGTGAGGAAACATCCAAATAAGGTTTCATCTTAAAAGATGAGACAAATTAGCCATGCTTTCATAATAGAGATATGCATTGCAAGTAGCAGAGTTAGTGTTTGCATATATTTAGTATTACTGCTAACATTAGCAGTCATGAATGTGTCTTGGCTTATCCATAATGTTCATATAATTCATGGGTGTGGGTATGTTTGTTCTTTCATTCATGCCACAGTAAAAGTCACCCCATTCTGCCCCAAGCTTCGTGAGTAACTAATGTTCATGAAAAACACGAATCCATAAGTAACAGGAATGGGTAAAGAGACAACAAAACCTTATGCTTTCTGTCTGAATCGTTCTGTGCTTTCCCCACTGTCCTCTAGAAATCTAATTGAGAATGTGAGAGAAGTGAAATAATTGCTTCTGTTTTTTGAATACCTAATGTAAAACAGTTCCTTGGTGTTCTCGTGTTTTTGTGTTTATTTTAGTACAGATAATGACCCTTTGAAGTAAGAATTAGGGTCTCCATGTCAGATGAGGAGCTGAGCCCTTGGAAAGGTTAGTAAATGGTCAAAAGCTTGATTATTGGAATTAGAGTACTAGAACTTGAGACCATCTGCCTGTAATTCAGAAACCTGTCTCACTATAGCACCAAGATAAGTAATTGTAAGGAGGATTTATTCTGAATCATGGGAGAAAGTTTAAAAACTTCTTCTCCATAAGGTGCTTCTAGATAAGCATGTTTAAACACCCAATGATAATTGAAAAATTGTGTTGAGGCTTAATTGTGTTATTGGTAGTTACGTAATTCAAATTAAATTCAAATTTTATAACTTTTTCTTGCTATGTTATAGTTCTCATGAGACATCTCCATCAATTAAAATGCAAAGAAAGCTTCCACCATCCTTATATCCTCCCTGCACCACTTGCCCCACTTCTCTCTCATTGGATTATAAGTGATAGCACCCTTACAGGATTAAGAAATTCTTAGCAGTCTTCTGAAAATGACCTTCTTGTTCTGCTCAACCTCCAGTGGATAGTCTGATTGAAATTATCTTTCTAGCTGTGAGTGTCCTTTGTATACTGGAACTTGTGACATTTCATTTTTCTTTTTCATATTCTCATGCCCTATGCTACGTTCTGCCCAGTACACATGTAAGCCTTTTGACCTCCTCTAGTTTGACTGAACTCAAGGTTCCTTCAACAATACCATTTATTTTCAACTGTTGCACCGCTTCTCCTGCTGTTCTGTTGACTTTTCCACTTTTCTTTGTCAGCCTAAGAAAATACTACTAACTCCTCAAGCTTTCTTTTCCTTCTGCAGTAGTTTGATTCATAGAACATTGTGTTTATGCCTTTGGTAGAACTCTTAACACATTTATCTATGAGTGGCTAATTCTGTTCACCTGTTTGCTCCTAATTGAGAATTCCAAGAAGATTGAATCATTACCGGTTATTTAACTTGTACCTTTAGTATTTATACATAGTAGCTTCTTAATGAATCACACTGCTGATATTGATAAATATCCTTTATTAAATATATCATACATTGGGCTTGATATTCATAAATATTATTTAATGTTCATACTCATCCTACAGAAAATTGTTAATCTTTTTAAAAATTGTTCGTTCTTATTAGAAAGGTAGATTAGATTTAGGGAGAGAAGGGGACACTGAAAGAAAGATGTCCCATATAGTGGTTTACTTTCCAAATGGTCACAATGGCCGGAACTGAGCTCCAAACGCAGGAGCTAGAAGCCTCTTCTAGGTCTCCCACGCAGGAACAGGGTCCTAAGGCCTTGGGCTTCCTTTATTCCTTTCCAAGGTCATAAGCAGGGAGCTGGTTGGGAAGTGGAGCAGCCACGACTTGAACTGGTGCCCATATGAGATCCTGGCACTTGCAAGGTGAGGGTTTAGCCATTGACTTACTGTGCCATGCCCTACTCCATTTTACAGATTAGGAAATTGTAATCAGAGAGACAAAATAGCTAGAGCAACAAAGCAAGCAAGTAATAGAGATAAGATTTGAACACAGGGTTTTTTTTTTTTTTTTAACTGCAACTGATTTTTCTTTATACCAACAGAAACCATTCATTCATCTTATGTTGAGACCACCCATGAATAGCTAAAGAGGATGTTAAGAGATAGCCTCTCACTAAAAGCATGAGTAAGGTCTTGGGAAAAGCTTGAGAATCATTTGAAAAATCTTACTTGGTCATGGAACGAGACTCAAAGGAATTTGCTGTGATAACTACTGCTAATGTTAGGTTTCAGAGAAACCAGGATCTAGAAAAATAATTCACTGTGTTTGCAGAGTGGATGAGAAAAAAATGGTGTGAATCATCCAGAGTTAGAATGACAATGTTACAGAGGAGACCATGGAGTTCTAGATGAATTCATTACCATGTCCCCAAAGGCGCATAGCTACCAAGTATCAGAGCTTGTCCAAGAACCCCTAGGCCATGAACACAGTTCAGTACCCTTTCCAACGACAGTATGCTACCTATTAAAATTGCTACATTCTGAGAAAAATTACTGGACCAAGGCAAAAATGAGTCTTTGAAGAAAAACAGCTTGATCCCTTTGAAGCCAGTTAGCTTTTGCCCAAGACCTGCTGCTATTTTGGTGCTATGGGTCTATTCAGACCTAAATACTGCAAGCCATACAAATAAAAAGGCAGGGCTGTTATTTAGGCCTCCTGGGTCTACACATTCGCATCTCCGCTTGCCAGGGCAAATTATCAGTTCATCTCTGCAGGGCAGTTTGGACACAGGATGGTAATAACCCTTATCTTAGTCCTTAGATGTATTCTGGTTCATCTTTGTTACAATAAATACATAATCCTTTCTCCAGGTTGAGAGAGGAAAGGGAAAAAAATAAAGAAATCTAAATTGGTCTCTGCCACTGACGATTTCTAATAGTTTCTTTCTCTTTGTCTTTTAGGGTGACGAGGAAGGAGCCAGGTAAGATCGCATTGTTGCTGCTTGTTCATTCTCAGAATTGAAGTGGAGTGATATTTGTGGTCTTTCAATACCCCATGAAATATGAACAATCAAGGAATTGCACAGAAAGTGAATCTACATCTTAAGATAGGGCTTTGAATATCTTATTTTGTATGCCTCCTGTCTGCCTCCCCAACTATGCCATTTCTTCCCTGTAACTTTCAGATAAAGGTAGAATTGAAAGTATACGATGCACTAACTTCGCTTTATTGCTTGCTGCATTCAGAATACTTGGCTAAGAGTAGGTGCTACATTTGAATGGTTAATTAATCTATCAGGTGGACTGATTAGATAAACTTGCACATTGTTCTTTTTTTTAATTGAAATTGGATTGTCTTTTCTTTAATGGGCTCTGGATTCGATATTCTTTATTTCAGACCTATGACATCTTTGTATCAGACCCAAGACACGTGAACAATGCACCCTAGGCTAAAGGCATTGTGACAAAGCTTTGTTTAGGAAAACAAATTGCCTCTGTGCTTCTAATGCAACAGTATTATATACAATCTAAAGTACATTTCACTGCTCCCTGAGCCTTGCAGTAAATAGACTCTGATTAACTTACTTTTCCTGTCATATGGCTGAAACAGTGAGAACAGACCTTAGGAATTGTCGCAGCTCTAGCATCAACATGATCAAGGAGTATTAATATAAAATAAGGTGCAATGCCTGGATGGATGCTGTCCACCACATGGGTTTAAGGACAGTGAAGGCTGAGAGGTCTCAGAAAGGTCTTGGAGGCCAATGCTTCTCAAATTTGAACTTTTGTGGACATGTCCCACCCCCTTTTTCCCAAATGGACAAGTAGAACCTCGATTGTGAAACGAAAAGGTTTTCTTTGATTAAGGTTGGGGGCTATATTCGGTGGTGAATTCTGTTCGTCACAGTAAACCTTTCGAGGGGCTTCTGTAGAGATCTGAGTTTCTCAGAACTCTGTTTGAAAATTCCTAATCTAGTCCCAGTTCTTTACTAAAAGAAGCTAAATTAATTTTGAGTCAAATTATTCATCTTGTTTTTGTGGTCATGTGCTAGAATCACATTGATTAGAATACAAAGACCTTATGAAGAGATTAATTCTCTTCAAAGATAGCGTTCATTGTGGGATACTGGCTTTAGCTTTTAATTGCAAATTCTTTCATGTCATTTTGACAATACAGTGTTGAGATGTGGACTTTGTTTACTAGCAACCAACATGCCAGACTGCCTCTCTTGGGCCAGGTTGCCATGAATGTCAGCAGGCTTCTGACTGAGATTTGACACAGCCTTTTTGTGCAGTGAGCATTTGAAGAACATGTTCCAATTTGGCCAAAACAGGGAGGAGAAATCAAAATTTCTTTTTAACCTTTAAATTCGTATTTGTTGGTTCCATTCAGTTTATTTGTATTTTGAACTACCATTTGGCTGGGTTTATTGCAGTTGATGCTTCAGGGAGGATTGCCTTTGATCTGAAATTCCTCTTGTTTGTAGTATGCATTTTGCCATTTCTATAAGCCAAATAGAATTTTGTTCCAGAATCTTCTGTATTAAATGAGGGTTGATGTGTAAGGGTGGCAAAATGGAAATTTGAATCTGTGCAGGGGCAGTGGATGAGAAAAGAGTTTGAAGATGCTGTTTTGGTTCAGTTTGTGTCTTCTTTGCCAAAATTCTTTCCATGTAACCACTTTCCTGCTATTGATACAAAATTCCAAGGAGAAATGGATTCCAGCCAGTATGCATAGTAGGAGGAGAAAAGAAAGTTGTCCTGTCCTATGGGAATGTTTTGGCCATTTGTCCATCTTCCTTTCTACTAGCTGAAGTTTCCAGAATTTGGTGTTGACTTGTAAGTTGCTTCATAGGAGTTGTAGTAATTTGGGTCATATCACTTCCTTGTCCTGGATTTTATTGTGCAGCTATCTTGTTAATTAACTAAACTAGCTGTAGCTCCCATTTGCTGAATATTTATCATGTCCAAAGTGGGTTTCATATATTCTTAGTTAGCCCTTATATAGAGCTTAGGACGTAGTTTCCATCCTGCCCTCAAGCCTTTCGGACTGTCTGCAGGGAGCCAGCACGCTTCTCTGTGTGTGAGCCTGTGTGAAAGCTGAGAGGATTCACACACAGTCTTCAGAGGATCACTCCAATCTTGTTCTGCTTCTCTGGGAGTTCTTCCTTGCTTTGATGTTGAATTACTGTGTCCTCTGTTTTCTGTAAACTGCTTCTCTGCTCCTCAGCCTCTGTTACTCTGCAGGGCTCGCTCTTTTGAGTAGTCATGCAGTGTCCTCTGAGCATCAGCAGCAGAGATGCTCTCTGGGGAGCAGCAGCCCAGGCTGCAATAGCTGCCCATTGCTTCTTCATCAAGTAACACATGCCTCAAAACTATGATACACAGCCCTGATGGCAGAATCTCAGAGTGGGAAGGAGCCAAAGTCTTAATTGGAGAGTGTCGGTATTAATTGCTATGGTGTCATCATTGGAGAGCCTATCTTTGAAGCCCAGAGTGAGTTTTTTTTTTTTTTTACAAGTAAGAAAAGCAATTTACACTTTTGGCAGCAATTTTCTCTCTTTGCTGTGCTATTATGGGAGATCTTGTGTTTGCACCCTTACATACTAGCTCCTGCTCTACTCCTGCTGGAGCTTACTGAGAAGGAATGTGTATTTGAGAAGTGGCTGTAAGATATGCTTGTGTGAAAGCTCTTGTGATGTAGGAGGAAGTCAGAGAGGAAAAATAGCCTTAAACCCTGGTGCTCAAAAGGAGGCAGAGCAAGATCAGGACTAAACTTTGATTTGCTGTTGAGGTTCTTTGAAAAAAATTTTTTAACTAAAAGGAAAATGAGTTTGTAATAGTAAAAGTTATGGTTGGAACTTGTGTCTGGCTGTTATTCAGGCAAAATGGTCCTGCTGAGATCAGTGTGAATGATGGATGTTGATTCTGTGATCAGACAGCGACCATGTTGTGAAGGATTCAGATCTGAAGGAGATCAGCTGCTCATTTACATTCTTGGTTCTGCCTGGGACCAACTGCATTTGCTAGGCAAGTCATTTAGCCTCCTGTGAACAGTGGCCTCACCCCTCCTGCTCCCATGTCCACCTAGTTTTGAGGACATCGTGTTGAATATGAGGTGGAGGGTCTGATATTGTGGTGCAATGGGTTAAACTTCCTTGTGATGCCAACATCCCGTATGAGCGGTGCTTCCAACCCGCCTGACTGCTAGTGAGCTGGGAAGATAGCCCAAGTGCATGCGCCCCTGCTACCCATTTAGCACTCCCAGATGATGTTTTGGTTCCCGGTTTTGGCCTGACACAGCTATGGCATTGCAGCCATTTTGGGCAGTGTATAAAGGATAGAAAATCTGTTAATCTTGCTCTCTTTTCTCTCTCTCTCTCTGTAATTCAAATAAATGAATTTATACATATTCATGAAGTGTGGAAAGAATCTTATAGATTGTGTAATTTGATAGAATTTTTGAATCTTAATTTTATTTCTTGAAACATTGTTTTATATTTGCCTGCTATATATTCTTTGTTTCCTTGTAAATGAATCGACCATATATTCTTAGAGTGTTTTCTGTTTCTGACTACCTGGGTTGTACAGTAAAAAAAGGACTAGGTCAGCGATACACTTCAGTTTCTTTTGTCCTCTGACTGCAAATTCATGATTTGATGGTTTTGTTATCTCCATTTAAGGAGACCCATCTGGAAGCCCAGGGCCATGACACTAATAGTTGTGATGTGGACTGCAAGTATCAAGGCTACTTATTATAGAGTAGGGTTCCACCATCCAAGTTGGCCTTAGTGCTTGGTATCTTAGGGAGAAGACAGGCTCTTAGTGGTCAGTATCTTTTTAGGGAGACTGAGCTGGGGTTTTTTTTTTTTTTTTGGTCATCCTGATTGTCCCTTACCTTAGCTAGAAGAAGGGGAAGTTATGTTACATGTTATGCTGCCAGTATGTATCAAAAGTAAGCCACCTTACTAAAATAGTTTACTTTTAGGTTTTTCTGTGAGTCACAGTTTTGTGTATGTTGGTGTATTAACCAAAGGACCCACTCAAAGCTAGGAAATTCAGCCGAAGTGCCTCTAGCTTATTGCATCTGCCTCCAGCTAGAAATGCTGACTGGGAATAGCCCATACTTCACTCAGCAGCCTGCTGCCTCTAGCTCTAACACTAAGCTCAGGGGCCCCGGTGTCACCTTGCATGCTCAGTTCCTGCTCTGGTCAACTTTTGTTTGCCATCCAGTACAGTAGTTAATGATGCATATGAGGCTAATCTTATTTCTATATTTGGCCTCAGAGCTTATCAGGATAATGTTTTCTGATAAATGCTCTAGTCCTTAGCACCTCAGAAAGGGAAAATTACAGAGGAATTTTCCACTCATTTATTCAGCAAATGTCTTAGAGGAATATTATATGTGGTAGGCTTAAGATATGTGAAGGTGGCTAAGATTTTGTCCTTGCATCTGTAGATATCAAAGTCTAATTTGGATGAGAGTTGAATAAGACATTTTAATTTCATATTGAAGTGCAGCATAAAAAACACAACAAATTGCTTATTGAGTGGCAGCTGTGTTTAAGCAAATATTTTAAACGTTTGCATGTATGATTTATTTTTCACAATAGCCCTAAAAAGTGCTTGTTAATACACTACCTTCATTAGCCTCTGAAATGAAAAGCTGAGTTGCAATGAGATTATACATTCTTGAGATCAAACAGCTAACAGGTGATGGAGCCAGCATCCCTGCTTTAATACTCTGGCTCTAGAGTGTGAGTTCTTAACCAGTGCACTAAAATGATTCTCTAGAGTAAATATGTCGGATATAGATAAGGATTCAGCTAATTCAAAAGAAAGAAAAAACAGATAGCATTTCTTTTTGACCAAGGAAAGTAAATAGGGCTACTTTCTGCTTTTCCTACTTCCAACTGGAAGGCATGTGAGGGCTGTCTAAGAAGAGAATTCAGCGCATCATGAGGTTCAGGAATGAAAACAT